ACACTGGACCTAAAACACGAGATCACCAATCAGAGCGAAAGAAACTTTTGAAGGACCTGGGTATAATGAAGTCAGCTGATTTGTCTTTTAAAGAACACAATAATGAAAATATTACAAAGGCCAGGAAAATGTTGGGGTGGATAATGGAAACTTTCAAAACAAGGGAAGTAATGTCAAGAGTGACGCTAAGCAAATCGCTTGTGCTCTCTCGCTAGAAATATTCTTCAGAGTTGACGGCTCCATTAAGGGCAGGAGAGATATCAGAACTGAAACACATACAGAGATTGTTCAAGGCTTAACAGCGTTAATAAAATATTTAAATTACATGGAATGCTTCATGATTCTAAATACGAACTCACTGGAGTGAGAGAGAGAGAGAAATACAGGATAATGTATATGTAGCAGGTACATAAGGGCCTGGTTCCATATCTACACACTGCCTTAACAACATAGGCCTACTGGCCCACGCGAGGCAGGTCCAAGTCACCCACCGGCCCAAGGCTAGCCAGGGCAGGTCACACCCTGTTAAGGAAGGAGCTCAGCATCAGACCCATCAACACAAGCTAGTCAGGTCCATCTCACACCCACCCACACCCATTCGTGAATTTATCTAACCTATTTTTAAAAGTATACAACATTGAAGCTTCTATGACGGTACTCGGGAGTTTGTTCCACTCATCCACAACTCTGCTGCCAAACCAGTGCTTTCCTGTATATTTCCTGAATCTGAATTTTACCAACTTAAAACCATTGCTGCGAGTCATGTCTTGGCTTGATATTTTTTAGCACGTTATTTATTCCTATTTTCCAGTTGTGGGAGAAAACGTAAAATAAACCCAGTGAAAAGCAGGAGCGCTGTGGGCACAATAAAAAGACATTGTATCAACATCCATGGCCCCAGACTATTCATTAATTTGTTCGAAAGTATTAGAAACATTGTCAGAACAAGTGTAGAAGTCTTCATGAGGAATTTACTCCGACAAGGCCGGATCAGCCAGGATGTGATATTCATGTTGGTCAGTGAGACGCTAGCCGCAACAGCCTGGCTGGCCAGGCAAGCACAGACAAGCCTGCTAAAGTAGAAAAACTCTGGAAATCCATGCAAGATGGTATACCAAATGGTTGTATTTAGAAGAGCATCTCTGAGAAGATATAAGTCACAACCTAAGATGTGATTACGATGATAATTCTAAATATATTTAAAACACCCACTGTAAGACCCCTACCACCCACCTGCTCTCCAACCACCCCACCACCCACCTGCTCTCCAACCACCCCACCACCCACCTGCTCTCCAACCACCCCACCACCCACCTGCTCTCCAAACCACCCACCACCCACCTGCTCTCCAACCACCACCAAACCCACTGCTCTCCAACCACCCCACACCCACCTGCTCTCAAACCACCCCACCACCCACCTGCTCTCAAACCACCCACACCATGTTCCAACCACCACCACTGCTCTCCAACACACACCCACCACCCACCTGCTCTCCAACCACCCCACCACCCACTGCTCTCCAACCACCCAGCCACCACCACTGCTCTCCAACCACCCAAACCACCCACTGCTCTCCAACCAACCCCACCTACCCACCTGCTCTCAACCCCTCCACCCCAACCACCCACCCCACTGCTCTCCAACCACCCACACCCACATGCTCTCCAACCACCCACCACCCACATGCTCTCCAACCACCCAACACCCACTGCTCTCCAACCACCCCACCACCCACATGCTCTCCAACCACCCCACCACCCACTGCTCTCCAAACCACCCACCACCACATGCTCTTCCAACCACCCCCCACCAACCCACCTGCTCTCCCAACCACCCCAAACCCCCACACCTGCTCTCCAACCACCCCACCACCCACTGCTCTCCAAACACCCCCAACCCCCCACATGCTCTCCAACCACCCACACCACTGCTCTCCAACCACCCCACCACCCACATGCTCTCACAACCACCCAATCCTACCTCAACTGCTCTCCCAACACCCCACCACCACTGTCTCCAACCACCCACCACCACTGCTCTCCAACCACCACCCACCACACCACCATGCTCTCCAACACCCCAACCCCCCACCTTGCTCTCCCAAACCCCCCACCACCCACCTGCCCCTCAACCACCCCCACCACCCCACATGCTCTCCAACCACCCCACCACCCACCTGCTCTCCAACCCCCCCACCACCCACATGCTCTCCAACCACCCACCACCCACCTGCTCTCCAACCACCCACCACCACCTGCTCTCAACCACCCCACCACACTCCAACACCCCCTGCTCTCCAACCCCCACCACCCCCCACCACCCCTGCTCTCCAACCACCCACCACCCCTGCTCTCCAACCACACCCACCACCCACCTGTCTCCAACCACCCACACCCACCTGCTCTCCAACCACCCCACCACCCACTGCTCTCCAACCCACCCCACCACCAACCTGCTCTCCCACCCACCACATTCCACCACCACACCTGCTCTCCAACCACCCACCCCCACCCGCTCTCAACCACCCCACCACCCACTGCTCTCCAACCACCCACCACCCACCTGCTCTCCAACCACCCACCACCCACTGCTCTCCAACCACCCCACCACCCACATGCTCTCCAACCACCCCACCACCCACATGCTCTCCAACACACCCACACCCCCACCCTGCTCTCCCAACCACCCCAAACCCCCCACTGCTCTCCACCACCCACACCCACATGCTCTCCAAACCACCCCACCACCAACTGCTGCTTCTCCACCACCCCACCCACCACCCACCCCCTGCTCTCAACCACCCCACCCCCCACTGCTCTCCAACCACCCCACACCACTGCTCTCCAACCACCCCACCACCACTGCTCTCCAACCACATCCTCCACCCACACCTTGCTCTCCAAACCACCCACCACCACCTGCTCTCCAACCACCCCACCACCCACTGCTCTCCAACCACCCCCCACCCACTGCTCTCCAACCACCACCACCCACCTGTCTACAACCACCCACCACCCACTGCTCTCCAACCACACCCCCACCACATGCTCTCCCAAACCACCCCACCACCCACCTGCTCTCCAACCACCCCACCACCCACATGCTCTCCAACACACCCCCACCCACTGCTCTCCAACCACCCCACCACCCACTGCTCTCCAACACCCCACCACCCACCTGCTCTCCAACCACCCCACCACCCACCTGCTCTCAACACCCACCACCCACTGCTCTCAACCACCCCCACCCCCCTGCTCTCCAACCACCCCACACCCACTGCTCTCCAACCACCCCACCACCCACATGCTCTCCAACCACCCACCACCCACCTGCTCTCAACCCCCACCACCCCCCTGCTCTCAACCACCCCACCACCCCTTGTCTTTCCCAAACCCCCCCACCACCACTGCTCCTCCACCCCCACCACCCCCAACCACCCACCACTGCTCTCAACCACCCACCTCCACCTGCTCTCCAACCACCCACCACCACCTGCTCTCCACCCACCCCACCACCCACCTGCTCTCCAACACCCACACCCACTTGCTCTCCAACCACCCACCACCACTGCTCTCCAAAACCACCCACCACCACCTGCTCTCCAACTACCCCACACCACTGCTCTCAATCCACCCACCACCCACTGCTCTCCAACCACCCCACCACCACCTGCTCTCCAACCACCCCACCACCCACCTGCTCTCCAACCACCCCACCCACCTGCTCTCCACCACCCCTACCCACCCACTGCTCTCCAACCACCCCACACCCACTTGCTCTCCAACCACCCACCACCACCTGCTCTCCAACCACCCCACCCCCCACTGCTCTCCAACACCCCACCCCCCACCTGCTCTCAACCACCCACCACCACCTGCTCTCCAACCACCCCACCACCACTGCTCTCCAACACCCCACCCCCACATGCTCTCCAACACCCACACCACACTGCCTCAACCACCACCACCCACTGCTCTCCAACCACCCACCACCCCTGCTCTCAACCACCCACCACCACCTGCTCTCAACCACCCACACCCATGCTCTGCAACCCCCCCACCCCAACCTGCTCTCAAACCCAACCACCACCTGGCTCTCCAACACCCCACCACACATGCTCTCCAACCACCCACCACCACATGCTTTTCAACACCCCACCACCACATGCTCTCCAACCACCCACCACCCAAACTGCTCTCCAACCATCCACCACCACATGCTCTCAACACCTCACCACCACATGCTCTGCAACACCCCACCACCAATGCTCTCCAAGCACCACCACCCCCTGCTCTCCAACCACCCTCACACCACTGCTCCCAACCACCCCACCACCCATGCTCTCCAACCACCCACCACCCACTGCTTCCAACACCCCACCACCCACTGCTCTCAACCACCCCACACCACTGCTTCCAAACACCCCACCTTCACTTGCTCTCCAACACCCAACCCCCTGCTTCAACACCCCCACCCACAGCTCCAAAACCCCACCACCCCCTGCTCTCCCAACACCCCACCACCCACCTGCTCTCCAAACCCACCCCACCACCCACATGCTCTCCAACCCCCCACCACCCAAAATGCTTTCCAACCCCACCCACCACCACATGCTCTCAATCACCCCCACCACCCATATGCTCCCCAAAAGCACCACCACCCACCTGCTCTCCAACCACCCTCCACCAAACAGTGCTCTCCAACCACCCCACCACCCCATGCTCTCCAACCACCCACCACCCACATGCTCTCCAACCCCCCACCACCCCATGCCTCCAACCACCCCACACCCCCCGCTCTCAACACCCCACCACCCATTGTCTCCAATACCACACCCCCGGTCCCCTCACACCCCCCGGGCTCCCCACCACCACCCACCCTCCACCACCCCACCTTTTTCCCTACACGCAACCTCGGTCACCCTGCACCACCCACCTGGTCACCCTGCACCACCCACCTGGTCACCCTGAACCACCCACCTGGTCACCCTGCACCACCCACCTGGTCACTCAGCAAGGAGGTCGGGACTGGGGTGCCTGACACCGTGCCCTCCGGCAGCGCCTTCAGAAGGTCGTCGAAGTCCTCACGTATAGTAGACACCTGAAAAAGAGAAATTATTATTATTTTTTTATTATTATTATTTATTTATTAGTATTATTATTACAACATTTACTAGGAAATGCTAAATCCGTAGGGGACTCAATCCGAAGAAGAGGAGCTCTAACTCCTAGGATCAAGATCATGAAAATATCCCTTTTATATATTGACAGACACAGAGTTAGCATCAAATGTGTGAGCCTGGAGTCTGTGTGAGACAGGAAGACTGGGAGAGACATGATCACGACGTACAGGATGCATAACTTCATATACAATTTCTAAACTAGGTAAGTCCTAGTTTTCACCAATTAGGATCTCTAGTTATTTTTAATCAAGATCGCGAAGAAACATTAGGTTAGCCACAGAGTAACGACTGTTAATTAGCATATAAAACAGTGCGCCTGGCGGTCCAGCGGGACATGTGTTGTGCGGGGGAACGATGGACCAGGCGAGCGAGCATCTGGTGTGAAACTGGATGCTGCGGGCGGGGTGGTCCAGCACGCGATCTAATTCCACTAGGAACCTCAACTGTTATAAGATCGGCGATGCTCCTGTCTCTCCGTCAGCGGGAGGAGGAGGAGGAGGAACTGCAGCAGAATGAACAGTTGCAGCATCAATACCTGCTGATTATTGGGTTACCACTTACACTACATGTGACCGGGGAGAAGGAGGGGAGGGGGATTAACTCTGCTACTAACAACCTCACAGATGTCCAGAATTCTGGTCCACACCCACCTTGGCGTCGGTACCATGCTCTTATTGCGCCCACACGCCCTCTAACACCCTCTCACGGTCTCACATCCACCCACGTCAAACCCACACGCCCTTACCCATGCCACTTACCGCATATATCTTTCCCAACACACATGGTCTCACTAGAAGCAGGTGTCTCTGAGAGAGAGAGAGAGAGAGAGAGAGAGAGAGAGAGAGAGAGAGAGAGAGAGAGAGAGCTTGTCAATAAAGCTAGGGATCCTTAACCTTGTCAAACCCTGTGTAAAGAGAGAGAGAGAGAGAGAGAGAGAGAGAGAGAAGAGAGAGAGAGAGAGAGAGAGAGAGAGAGAGAGGAGAGAGAGAGGAAGAGAGAGAGAGAGAGAGAGAGAGAGAGAGAGAGAGACTCCTTCACAGTTTCCTGTGTCTTGTAAGCATTACCCTGGGCAGGTTAGTAGACCCACATCTGTTGCCTACACTGCCCCATCACCTGTGCTGCTCGCACTACTACCACCTGCTGCCCACTCTTTCAGCACCTGCTTCCACTTGTGCCCACCTCTTAAAAAAAAACTCTGAGGTACCCACCTCTGTGAAGAATAAAAAAAAAGTACCCACCTTTGGATAGAGCAATAGTACCCATCCCTGGGTAGAACACATCTCTCGGTCTCTCAGACAGCTCATCACTTAATTTCTACCTCTCCACTGCCCTTCCCTCAAGGACTGGATAATTCCCAACTCATGGATATACGCTACTTTAGCAATGGTCACATTCCACGTCACTTCTGAGTTCATTAGTCACGACGACCAGCGTCTCTATGATCTCTACACTAGTTTCTGAGAGCTGATGATAGACGACTTAAGACAGGCTGGAAAGATTCCGTTTGTTCGCCAGACGCCATATGTTAGGCTGGAAGAGTTCCATTTGTTTTTCGTCCATTTGTTTGTCGCCTTAGGATAGGCTGGAAAAAATTCATTTGTTTGTCAAACGCCTTAAGATGGGCTTGAAAAAAATCAATTTGTTTACTAGATGGTTCAAGACTGGCTGGACAATTTCCATTTCTTTACCAGTCGGCTTCAATGTCTCTGGAGACTTACAACCACACTAGAGACGTCCAACATGAGACCCCTCGCTTCTCTACCTGAGTCTCCATTGTAAAAGAGGAACACAGGGGTCGTACCTCTCACACACTGTGACACAACACGTGAAGGGGGAAACACAGGGGTCGTACCTCTCACTCAATGTGACAAGGTCAACCAGGATGCCCACCAGCGCACTTTGTAACACAACACAGCAGCCAACCCCAAGACTTCCCCTGCAGCACCACTACATAAACAATTGTACATACGAGAGATGTATGTCTCTCTGTGTATATACACTGAGAATTTACTTTATTCCCATTCTTAGATTTTAGAGTGTATTTGATTGGTGGTGAGCAGGTGACGTACAGCCTTAATGACCCTCGTGTGGTAGGAGTCATATAGCACCAGGGAAATGGGACTTAATTAGGTTTGATTCGAGGAACTACAACTCTCCGAATCTGTGTATAGCTTAATCAAGTCATGTTTCTACTCACTGGGAAGTTTCAGTATGTCATACTTCGCTCTGTGTAGAGCTTTTCAAGTAAGAGCTTGTAGAGCTTTATCAATGTGTGTTTCAATGCGTGCAGATTTATCAAGCCGTGTTTCGTTCTAAATAGAGCTTTATCAAGACATCGGCTTAATGAAGCTCTACGCAGAGCGAATGGTTAAACACAGCTGTGTTTAACTCTTCCGGTGCGAGAACCAGCCATCCTCGGAACTCAGTTTGGAAAAACACACAAACTCAAAACACAAGAGCATTTTCCACAGAACATTCAATAGAAACAGAAATTCAGATTTGAAAAAGAGTGAAGATAGATCATCCAGTATTCACTGAAACAAAAAAAAAAACACAGTAAAGTAGCCCCAGTTGTAGCGTGGGAAAGGTGTTTATATCGGCCAGGGAACCAAGAGAGGGAATTCAATGCTCCGTGAAAAGCGATCCAAATCATTTTCTGCTCTGCTTCGTGTCCTTATTCCCAGGCAGCATTTGTGATCCTCTTTATCACGGAAAGGAGGAGCTAGGAAGGAAGTGAGAGGATCTAATTCTACTTCAAAAGAATCCAGATACATTTCTTAAAAAAAAAAAGGCTGGGTCCCTCCCCTCTCCTCCCCACGACGTGGCACACGACAGTCGACTAAAACCCAGGTCCTTATTTACGGTAAGGACAACAGGTGTAAGAAGACTGTGACCTGACACGTCTTAGTCGGCCAGGGAATCTAATCCAGGACCTTTTTGGTTGCGAGTTGAAGGCCTACCTGTGACCTTTAGCAATTAAAAATGATTAAGTAATACCAGGTAATCAAAGGTGACGCCAGGTAATGCCAGGTAGCACCATGTAACACCAAGTAATACCAAGTAACACCAGATAATGCCAGATAACACCAGGTAACACCAGGTAACACCAGGTAACACCAGGTAACGCCAGATAATGCTGGGTAATACCAGGTAACACCGGATAATTCTGGATAATACTAGATAATACCAGGTAATACCGGATAATAAAAGGTACTAATACCAGGTAACACCAGGTAACACCAAGTTATAGCAGGTAACACCAGGGGAGATCATTTAGGGAGTCATGCAGGTAAGATTTGGAGAGACCAGTTATTGAGACCAGTTACTGAGACCACTTTAGAGAAACCAGTTACTGAGACCAGTTATTGAGACCAGTTTAGGGAAACCAGATACTGACACCAGTTTAGATAAACCGGTTATTGAGATCAGTTATTGAGACCAGTTATTGAGACCAGTTTAGAGAAAGCAGTTATCGAGACCAGTTTAGAGAAACCAGTTATTGAGATCAGTTAAGAGAGACCAGTTACTGAGACCAGTTTAGAGAGGCCAGTTATTGAGACCAGTTATTGAGACTAGTTACTGAGACCAGTTTAGAGAGACCAGGTTAGAGAAACCAGTTATTGAAACCCTCTCTCTCTCTCTCTCTCTCTCCTATTATGCAACTACTTAATAATTCTTAGTATTATCCTAGGATTATCTGCTGGTGTCCCTGAGACAGGGATACCACAGTATACCCACAAGATACCCGCACACAAGGATACCACAGCATACCGAGGATTCCGTAGAATGTTCTCAGAAGGATATTTTGAAAAGGGAGGGATGAATGAGGGGTAGGAGTGAGGGGTAGGGGTGAGGGGGTTGGAGTGAGGGGTGGTTTGTGAGGGGTAGGGGTGAGGGGTAGTAGTGAGGGAAAGGGGAGAGGGGTAGGAGAGGGGCAGGGGTGAGCGGGTAGGGGGGCGAGACCTGCGGGAAGCTGCGGTTGCGGTCACTGGTCAAAATAAGTGAAATGCGGCCACCCATGAAACACATGGTCGACCCCCATGACACACTTACATCCATGGCTAGTTGAGGATAGGTGTTGGCTAGTGGGTGTTGATGCTAGTTGAGGATAGGTGTTGGCTAGTGGGTGTTGATGCTAGTTGAGGATAGGTGTTGGCTAGTGGGTGTTGATGCTAGTTGAGGATAGGTGTTGGCTAGTGGGTGTTGATGCTAGTTGAGGATAGGTGTTGGCTAGCGGGTGTTGATGGTAGTTGAGGATAGGTGTTGGCTAGTGGGTGTTGATGCTAGTTGAGGATAGGTGTTGGCTAGTGGGTGTTGATGCTAGTTGAGGATAGGTGTTGGCTAGTGGGTGTTGATGCTATTGAGATAAGGTGTTGGCTAGTGGGTGTTGATGCTAGTTGAGGATAGGTGTTGGCTAGTGGGTGTTGATGGAAGTTGAGGAAGATGTTGGCTAGTGGGTGTTGATGCATAGGTTGAGGATAGGTTTGCTAGGGGTGTGATGTAGTTGAGGAAAGGGTTGGCTAGTGGTTTGCTGCTAGTTAGGATAGTGTTGGTGGTACACAGTGAAGAGGAGGGGCCAGGGGCTATGAATCGACCCCTGCAACCACAAATAGGTGAGTACACAGGTGACGGAGCATCAAGGGCATAATCACCATGACCCCAGCCGTGCCCAGCTGCCCACCACACAGCTGCTACTGCCATCCCCTCCTACCCTCACCGACCCTCCTCCGCCTTACCCCCCCCTGCTGGGTAACCCATCCCCTTCCCTTCCTCCCCCCCCTCTGCCTTAACTCTATTTTAACCCCTTCCTTACCTTTCATTAGCCTCTCATCACTTACCCCCCCTTTTACCCCTTACCTCGTTCCACCCCCTAACCCTTCACACCCTTTTCTCACCCTCCTTTTCCCCCTCTCGTGAA